ATATATATATATATATATATATAAAACAAAAAAAAGACAAAAAATAAAAATAAAGTTCTTTTAGACAAGCAAAAATATAACATTTTTGCTAACTTGTTTTGACTATGCTCATCTGTCAACAGATTTATATACTTGTGGTGTGTGAGATTATTATAATAATATTTTCCCAGATAAATCTCACGAAGATCACTATAAGCTGGACAATGTAATACAAAGTGAAATTCATTTTCTATACAATTAAGTGAATATTGTTTACAATAATTGCATCTACTTTTTCTGTTTTCCAGCACTTTGAAGCCCCAAATGTCAGGGGCTGGCTGAAACAGTACTGAATTTGCTCTATATTTTATTATGTTTTATCATATATCCTTTTAATATAACATTCAATTCAATCGAATGTATGCCTTTAGATTATTTTGTATTGTCTTTTATATATCTATTAAGGTCATCAAAGGATTAACCTCAGCTGGATGGACCACTCTCGCAAAATATTGTAGAAATAAATGGATGGATGGATGATTAGTAAATAAATATAAAATTTTAGTTTAACAGTACTATTATTATTTTAAATATTTCTTTTGATTTTAGTATGGAGAGAGTGTGCGTGTAAGCGAATGTGGATTTGCAACTTGTACACCAGAGACCACATCACTTGCTGACCAGCGGGCAATCAATGAGTGCCATGTGACACACTGCGAAGAGGGCTATCAACTAGTTGAGCCTGTAGGTCAATGCTGTCACTGCGAACCAGGTATCTAATTTTTATTACTACTTCACTTTTCAGATTGAATGCATTTTATTTGCTTCATTTACGTTTATTATAATATTTAAAACCTGCAATGCCTCTGTATTAAACAATTGCTTAAATAAATAGAAAAAAAAATTGTGGTTAGAGGAACTTTATGCTACTGTAATTGTCCATAATTGATGGAGGGAAAGAATTGGGTTTATTTCTACAGGAGTACTAACTACTTTAAATTGCCGGTGTGCAGTGTGCGCATGAAGTGGACTACTTGTCCAACTCATATAATTGTATATCATTGGAGATATTGTATTGTACAATTCCTGTATAACATTGTACTACACATTATTTTTCTGTAATAGAATATACAAAACTGAAGTATAATATAAGTGTATTATATTATAATTTATTTTTGTACATTCTATTATACTTATGTCAGGTATACAAGGATAATACAATGTACTGTATGTCATTGGAGATATTGTATTGCAATTCCTGTATAACATTGTATTATACATTTTTGTGTAATAGAATATGAAAAAACTGAAGTATAATACAATAAAATGTATTGTATTATAATTTAATTTTGTACATTCTATTATACTTGTGTAGTTATACAAGGATAATACAATATACAAGTAAAAAGTATGATACAATAATAAATAAGTATAATATACATTATACAAGTATATTAAAATCACACAAGAACAAAAATATAATACATATACAATTGTATACAATTATACAAATAATGAATGTTCATGAGTGCAATGGGAAAAAATATATCCATGAGTTGAAAGAACAACTGTTCCATCCAATGAGGCGAGCTGATTTATCACTTTAATTATTATTATTAATGTAGAACTGTTTATTATTATTATTATTATTATTATTATTATTATTATTATTTCAAATGTAGTTTTAATTTTTATTATAATTATTATCAAAATGTGTGAACAATAATCACTAAAATGCAAGATGTTTACTGAATTTTAGTGTGCCAGGGAGGTCAGTATTATGATGAAGTTTGTGCCTGCCGACGAACTTGTTCTGACAGGGATCCAGACTGTAGTGATGAAGAGCGTTGCTCCCCTGGGTGTGTTTGTCCGGAAGATCGTTACTTCGATGGTATTGAATGCGTGGAGACATGTCCATGTGAACACCCAGAAGGCGTTACACTTGTAAGAGACTTTGCAACTTTATTATTAAAGAGTATAGTATTTCAAGAGGTCCGACTGCCCAGATTTTGTATGCACACATTGAAACGTTTAAAAAAATGTACTACCACGAGATAGGAGGTGCCCTATTAGCATTCAAATAGAGGTCGATACTCGCCTTTTTATTACATTCCAACGAAACCCCGAGATTCGGACCTCTTGCAATGTTATACTTTTCATTATTATTGTTGTTATTTTGTTGTTGGCACAGTAGTAATGATTGGTTTCTGAACCTCCATGTTGGGGTTTCAGTCACCTGCTGTGCCCTTTGCTACTGTCCTTGAGTAAGCATGTTATCTGTTGCACATCCTCTCCACTTAAATCCTTAAATGTGTACCATGTAGGATTACCTGCTTCTGCATGAACACAGCATCAGCATACAGCATTTACTTTAGTTTTCATTTCTGTATGAGTGGTCTATTGCATGTGGTAATTATTTATGTATTCACACAGTAGCACAAATTTGTATCTCTACCGTGGTCCAGCCATTTCCCAGGTCATTGGAGGGTGTTGTGTGCCGGTACACACCTAGTACAGTGATTTGGTGTAGTAGCTTCCCCAACTTGATATACAAGTGCAGATTTGTATCCAGGGTAGTGCAAGTGACTGTTCCCGCAATACAATACAACACAACTTTATCTTACTGATATTTCACACTCAGTGAGGGTGTAGTGATTTATTTGGCCTCTGTAAGGAGGATATTATCTAAAAGAATGTTGTAAAGCAATACAAATCTTTATTTTTAAAATAGTTTAACTGCAGCGCCAAATCTCCCTATACCTATCTAGTAGGCCTAGCTGTGCTTGGCCTTTAGCCACTAGGCCTTGTATTGATTTTAAATGGCAATAAGCAGCTTCTTTGAATAATTAATAATAGGCCCTATAAGACTAAGGCCTAGACAGATCGTCATTGCCATAAAATCATTGATAATACAATAGCAAGTGTTTACCTACCTAGTCCATGTTTCCCCCATTGCTTGGAGAGCCACTCAGACAGTAATTAATTTTACTTTTTGGTAATCCTGCCGGCTCTGTGAGGAAACATGGATTACCTTTTCGAATTTTCTGAATATTTTACTGTATAAAAAAAAGGTGAAATGAAAATTAAATGAACATGCTGATCTACTGTAGGCCTAGCTAGCAGCGCATACGCACGGTTTTACAATTGGATTTCAAAAAGAGCAATAATAAAATTCATGTTAGATGCCTTCCATACTCCTAGCATTTTTTAATACCTTCATCGCTATCTTCGCAATGTTAAATACTGTGTTTGAATAAGGGACATGATGGTATATCGTGTAGCTCTCAATGAATGTTATCCTATAAATAAATACATTGTGTCGTAAAATATCTCCGACGGGATTCGAACCTGAGACATCTCGCTGTTGAGGCGAGCATCATAACCGTTAGACTGCAGAGGCTTCATGGTAATAAACAGATTCAAATAAATAATTTGAATCCACAATCAGCAGACAGCTTCGCGTCGTCTAGGCCTCACAGAGAGTGGCATTGGATTTGTCGTATGACGAAGTGAGTGCCCGGCTTAAATAATGAAAAAAAAAAAAAATTTTATTCATTAATATTACAGGAAAATGGTGTTAGCAAATGGAGACAACCTGGTAGGCCTTGGGTAGAATGCAAATGGACTGATCATGATAACTGTGATTCCACTTGTTATGAAATTTGTGACTTACAGCCAACCGACTGCCAAGAAGGGGTAAGTTTTAAGTCTTCACAAATGTGACTGACTCTGGCAAACCCTGTGTTTGTCAGAAAAATTTTGAAAAGGTTTTATGGTACTTGTATTAGAAATGCAGTATTTGATAGTTCTGCATAGTGAAATTTGATATTTATTTGTTAATCTGACCAGATCAACAACTAATGTGACATAATTGCTGTTTTATCTTCAAGTACTAGAGATGAGCTATTGCAAAACCTTATATATAAGCAAAAACCTTTCTTAGTATTTATAGAACTATTGTTTAATAGACACTAATAAATCTTAATAGCTTTTTCATCGTCTTCTAAAGCTTTTTAGAATTTGTCTCATCTCATATTTATTGCAGGCAATAGATAGTCAGGGTAAGTAGATATTAACAGATTTGTATATAACTATTTTTTTAGATGCTATATAGATATTAACTGATAGGTAAAAGGTAGATAGCTGTAACTATCTGCTATTAGTCACATTAGTTGATCTGGTCAGATTAACCAATAAATAGGAAGTTTCCCTATGCAGACCAACCATCAAATTAGTGATTAGTGAATCACACACCAATAAAAGAAACCAATACCAAGCCAGCTGGCTCATTACAATGAGATTACATCCAATAATCTCCATTATTTTTTGTAAAGGCAAACAGTTAAACCAAAAATAATTCTGTTCATTCAGCCTGCATGACATTTTTCTTTAAGATCAGGTTATCCAAGCCGCATAGAAGTTTAACCGAGTGAACATTGCCCAGGAAGTAGTTTTTTTTTCGAGCAGTAACAATCAAATGCAAAGAGCGCAACTCTGTTGAATGTTACTGAGTTCATGCCAATACCACAATCATCTTTGAACTTTCTCACAGAATGATTCCACAGTTAGACTGGCCGCACTTTTGCACACAATTATCCTAAAACTTACTGTTTATTGTAAATCCATGCATGCACAGTAGTTCAATTTGATAATAGGCTATTACTAGTAAAGCAAATTCTCACGTTCCTCTATTTTGGCCTATGGTAATGTGGTGTTACCAACATAAAATTTACCAGCAGTGGTGCTAGAGATTTCCCAACAAAACATGTCCGACGGAGGGGTCCAAACCAAGGGGCCGACTAGAGCCTCGGTAGACAGGCCAGAATAAGAAATCCTTGGTAAGGTTCACAGGAAGTGTTTTTATGGCTTAGTATGGTCCAAATTGTGCTTTTAGACCATTATATTAGGGATTAGCAATCAAAATAACATTATTTGGATAGGCAAATTATTATTTTTTTTTTTAAATTTTTAATCCTACAACCTATCGCAGCGTTGGACAGCATTGTGTCCAGACCTGTTCGATGAAAGGGCAAATGACACCCGCCTCCCCGCTGGCGCACCACCACTGTACATGAACAAAGCTGACATAAAGCCATAGCCTTGTCCAGTAGTTATCAAACTTTCTTCCTGATGACCAGAACAAACATCCAGGCCTTTTCATTTCCACTTCTCTAGATGTTAAAACACATACTATAGGCCAAGACCTATGCAAAATGGGTCACTAACTAGTAAACAGAATTAAGTAACACTTTTAAGTAATATTTGGAATGCACAGATTTAATACATCAAATTTTAGCAGGATATAAAATTGGTGACCCTCAAATTTGTTTGGCGACACAGTTTTGGTCACAAAACTTTGGCCTGGTCTACTTAAATCTTTGTTTGCATTCTTTTCAGTATGAGTTGGTCAACTTGGATAGCACTGATTTCATTGAATGTACTTGTGAGCCAATTGGTAAGTCATTATTTTGGTACATATACAGCTTCTCCTATTAAGAGAACCCTATCTTTAGCATGTTAGATTTAAAATGACTTTGGTGGTATAGAGCTATGATGGTAGGCTGTTCCAAATGTTTAAAGCCACTATCCTGAATGATCTCATGCCCTCATTATTTTTGTAACAATACTCTGCGAGTAACATAAAGAAAAACAAAATTATACAAAATGACAAAAGTTAAATATACACTGCAAAAAGAGATCTAAATAATGTATTAATCTTATGCTTAATCAGCAAGGTGTAAGAAAGAAGGGATAAATTTCTTATTGTAAATTATGAAATACAATAGAAAGAAAGGATAATAATTAGTAGGAAGATATTACATGCTCACTCAGTGGCGGTGATAGGATTTCCTAGACAGGGGGTCCAAGTTCCCCGATGGGGGGGGGAGGCTGATGTCCCCGACTAGAAAAAAGTGGGTGTGGTCGGGCGTCGCTAAAAACCTTTCAAAAGTGGTCTACTGGACGTAGCCCCCCCCCCTTTTTTTGCCTTTGTTGCATTGTAATCTCTAGGCCCCACTTAAAATGTCACTGTAGTATAATTAATGGCACGCACGGCGGTAAAGGGAACTGTGAGCTCTATGACGAGAGAGATTGGCCCTTTGACCGTGTGGGCCTAGAAGTACTGTAGGCTAGGCTTCAGGCCTAGGCCTACTTTGTGGATACTCTTTTCATTCCTTTTTTAGGCCTTCTAGAAAATATGTATGAAGTATATAAAACAAATATTGACTGAGCAGTCAGTATTTGTATACTTTTCCCTGAAGATACATTGTGCTTAAAATTTGTCTGAACATGCACCAAGTATTGGATTGGATTAGATTGATTCGGTGTAAACACGAAGGATAGCCCACGAAAGTCTAGCAGAAGACTTATTTCCAGTGGGGTGCTTCTGGTGGTGATTGGGCAGTACACCGGGAGACAATCCCCTACTCTTTTCCGAAGAGTGTACTGCGTTCTTTAATGTGCACATGGGCCATAAATGCACACAGGACCAATGGCTTAAACGTCTCATCCGAAAGACGGTGCGCTATTTTAACTTGTATTTCAGCCCTCTAGCTGAAACACAAGAAGAGGCAGCGATGGAAATTAAACCGGGGACCTAGAGATCTCCACGGTTCAGCACACACACAGTGGCTACCACCAGATTAGCCGACTGAGCTCGTAGGATCCCAAACCTCTCTCTACACTTATTACTTATAAAAATATTAAATTTTAAGTGGTAAGTTCTAATTTCATCTTTGTGTTGTAGTTTTTGTTGGTGTCACAATTATTACTGTTAATTTATTCTACACAGATCGCTGCCAAGATGATGATGGAAATTTCTATGCTGTTAATGATGAGTGGCGAGTGGATGTGTGTGAAAGCTGTCTGTGTCATTCCATGAACGATATTCGGTGTACTATTAGCCTGTGTCAAAGTGATATGCTATGCCCAGTAGTAAGTTTTTCCCCTCCCCGTTTATGCAGGTTTTTTTTTTTTTAGGTTTGGCTTAATATGTACTAGTTGCCAAAGACAATAAATTTCCTTAATAATATTTTACTTTTTTTTAGTTGAACTATGATATATTTATTGTATTCCTTGTAACAAACTTTCTTTCATGTTTACAATAGCGGTATTTAATATTTTTATTTCTATGAAAAAAAATGAACTTGTATAT